CGTCGGTCATTATTCAATGAATTAAAAATTTTTTCTTCAGCAGCAAAAACCTCACACTGAAAACAATCATCCAAATCGGCCGTTGATAAGTTTGAGTTTGTCATGAAATCGAGTGGATTCAGTCCTAGACTCCGACTCGTCACGTGACTCAGATAGCAGATATGACCGCTTTTGTCGTATGTGTACGATCTACACATTCCATCTCTCCATCGTAAACACAAACGTTCACAATCTTCCACACTTTCCACTTTGCTCAATCGTTCATCGAAAACGTCCGTTAATCCGGATGAATGCACTCGTTGAAAGTGACACCTGGCCGCATTCAAGGTATCTGAACGAAACGATTGCAATCGTGACTGCAGCGAACATAAGCTGTTCTCTCGAGAATGATGAAGAATCACACATTGAATAGCGTGTTTCATCATAATATCGTATAAAATCAACGTAAAATCTTCTCAATCAACTTAAATCAATTGCTTTAATCAGCGTTTGCGTAACACATTACGAGTACTCAATGCCTTTTCCTCGTAATCAAACATCGACAATTTTTTCTATTGTCCATTAAATCTTGAACATTCCATCACCAGACTTGAAACTGATGAGATCATTCTTCAGTGATCCAACACTAAGATTCAATACTAAGAAGCAGTTATCACCGTTTGATAACAACTCTAACTTGGAAATTGAAAAGACTACGGAAACTGACCTCTGAAAGCACAATTATTCTCGTATAAATCCACGTGTGTGCTTCGTTTAAAATATTTTTGTTTGGTGTGCACACTTTGAATTGCTATTTGCGATAAGTAACATTTCATAGTCCGTCTATTGAACAATGCTGCTTTGCAAGACTCTCTGAATAGAACTAAATCACTAAACTAAATCACTCGCAATTGTTCAACCAAATATGAAAGTTATTGGCCAAACCATCGAACCCAACAATTTATCGCCTTCCCATAACTCATGTACAAAAACTCAATGTTATGAGCAATTGCCAGCCTCATCCATCACTGAACTTGAATTTGCTTACAACCAGAATATGAAACAGCTTAAAGTTTACAGTCGAAAAAACAAACGATACAGGAACGCTGTGCCGATAATTTACTAAAAACTAACTGTAAGCAAGTAACAGTTATGCCTTCACTTAATTGTGATCATTCGAGTAATACTGATGATAAAAGTGAATGAAACAGATAAAGCAATAACGTCTGAAAAGCCATACCCCTTTTGTACGCAATACGAAAGACATTCATCCAATTTGTGAATATTCTCGATAGATTTGAATAGTTTTGGATTGGTTGGAATTTGATTTGCGTATTTTTGAAATGACCACTGCAGACCGTCACATTGCGAGGACGCTTCTAAAATTACAATTAGAAACCATTGGAGCAGTGGTTCTCACGTTCGGGTGTTCCATTACGCCTTTTGATGATCTGTCAGGCCACCGTTACCCCCTTCCCCCCTGTTACTTTCAAAACGTTAGGAGCAAATGGAAAACCATATGTTACGTTCAGATGACCGCTACATTCACATCTTGTTAGCACCGTGATGGTATTCGACGTGGCTAGGCCTTCTCTTACAATTAGATCGTTGTATTGCTCATTGTTGCAATCGATTATGATTGCATGAAAAGCTATTGTCTGTGAGACGCTCACTTGAAACTGATTCACATGGATTCTCATTCTTTTCAGACGTGTTGTATTCACTCTCATAGCTATTGCATGAGAATGCCGTTCTCTTCATGACTTTTTATCATTCACTTCGTCTCATTTCGCTTAACAGTTACAATCAAATTCTTATTCTGTGACATACACTATTTACTGGATGCGTTGACGAGTGTTGACAGCCGAAATCGACAATACAACAATTGAATATTATTGCTTGACAACGTTTAACAGTCAAATGATCAATTATAGAGTGTACTTGATAGAATGAGAATTTGACATTAACTGTTGAATGAAATGAATGAGAAATTATCAGAAGAGAACAATTTTGATGATAACAGTCATGAGAGCGATTGTAACAGCTCGGAAAAGAATGAAAACCCTGTTAGAACGAATGAAAAGTTTGCGAGGATTTTGTTTTCCACTCGCATTCAATAACAGGCATTTCCAGAGACTGTGTCTCCTACTGACACATTCCTTGGCTCGATTTCGGACCCGGCTGATACACGATTGATTCCGTATAGTCATTGGCAAATTTAGAAAATGAAGAACTCACGTTTACTCATGCAGAACGGTGACGCA